GCCTATTGGGATTTATCTTTCTATGTCCAAACTGTGCTAGATTCAAAGAGTGTCAGGGGCAGTCTAAGCAAAAATGGCTCTGCTGAGGCAAAAAGACTATGTTAAACTAAGATTATTCTAGGTTTCTATATGTACTTCCTTTAAAAATGTTTCTTAATGTTGTACATAAGAATCAACATAATATCCTCTTTAAGACTTAACACAAAACCCTGGGTGTGCCCGGTGGCTCACGTCTGTAATCCCATCACTTTGGGAGGCAGAGGCGAGAGAGGATTGCCTGAGCTTGGGTTCCAGACCAGCCTGGGAACATTGTGAGACCTTGTCTCCACAATAAATCATAAAATTAGCTGGGTGTGATGTTGTGGGCCCGCATTTCCAGCTACTTGAAAGGTTAAGGTGGAAGCATTGCCTGAATCCAGGTTGAGGCTGCAGTGGCCGTGAGTGTACAACTGTACTCCAGCCTGGGTGATAGAGGGAGACGCTAATGGGGAAAAAAAAAAAAAAGAGTTATCAAAAAGCTACTTTTAGTGAATTCAAAAGTCCTTTATTTTTGGTTGATCCCCCAATTCTAACCATCCATTTTTATCCACCCGGTAGTGAGACAGCTTAGTCTATATTAGGAAGCTCACGCTGTAGAAGGAACATGGGTGAGGCTGAGCCCATTCTCATCTTGGTGACGCGGTCTCTTCCTCCGCAGCACGAATCCGTGGGGAGGGCATTAGGTGGAGAAAACAGGCTGGCCCAGAGAGGGTCATCCTCAAGGAATGGTCAGTTCTTTTAGAGACCTCAGATTTTCTGTCATCCTCCCCTAAAAGGGTCATTGTAGTGTTATGTTGCCCAGTAGAAGTTTCTGTGATATTGGAAATGCCCAGTGATGACATGTGGGTATTATGAGGAACTGGGTGTGTAATTTCATTTCATCTTTTTTTTTTTGAGTTAGAGTCTCACCCTGTCGCCCAGACTGGAGTCTATTTTTTGATTTATTATAGAGATGATGTCTCACCAAGTTGGCCAGGCTGGTCTCGAACCCGTGGGCTCAGGCAATCCACTCACCTCGGCCTCCCAAAGTGCTAGAATTATAGGCATGAGCCACTGCACCCAGGCTTAATTAAAAAAAATTTTTTTTAATTTGGAGTCTCACTCCTTCACCCAGGCTGGAGTGCAGTGGCACGCACACTCACAACCACCCCAGTGTCAACCTGCAGAGCTCTAGCGGTCCTTCTGCCTCAGCCTTCCGAGTAGCTGGGACTGCAGACACACACTACCACGCTGGCTATTTTTTATTTTATTGTAGAAATGAGGTCTCGCCAAGTTGCCCAGGCTGGTCTCGAACCTGTGGGCTAAGGCAATCCACTCACCTCAGCCTCCCAAAGTGCTGGGATTCATAGGCTGAGCCACCAAGCCCTGCCTAAATTAAATTTTAAAAGCTTCCATATTGAGCAGCAAAGTTCTAGGCCAGAAAGCTACGACTGGACTGAGCTTTCAAGTGTTCCAAGTACATGTGGGCTGGAAGATTCTGGTCTCATGGGAGACCTTGGCCGACCCCACATTGACCTTTAGTCTCTACTGTGTCCTCTTCCGCCCCTCAGCATGCTCATCATGTCAGGGACCCCCAGGTTAAGCCTGCAGGTGATGTGGAGGTAGGAGTGGCCTGAAAAAGGCTTCGATGTGCTGGTACCTGTGGGCTGTGGAGGGCTTAGGGGTTTTCCGGAGCAGGAGCCAGCCAGAGTTGTGCCTGGAAGGCCCCGTAGCCAGGGATGAATGGGCCCATGGTGGGCCGGCTCTCCAGGACGGCTGGACACTTGGCTCCCAGCCACCCCTCACCTCTTAAGCTCATGGCTAAAGCGGGCCTGTTTCAGGGACAGTGACTCAGTCTCCTCCATCCACTGATTCTTTGGTTGGGAATGATTTACCAAGGGGAGAAAATCCCTGTATAGTGTGACGCGTTTGGGGACCTTGTGTGAAAACAGGCTGTGGCCGCGTGTTCCTTTGAAGAGGTTGGCGGCCGGGGTGAAGGTTGGCTTGGGCCCCGCACCGAGGCCGGCGACTCCGGGAGTGGACTACTGGGAGGAAGGGTGACGTCAGCCCTGATCTTTGCGCCGCTCGCTTGAGCAACCTGACCCGCCTCCTCCTCCAGGAGCCGTGCCCACTGGCTGCTGGCCCGACTTGCGGTGGGCGGGGCCTTCCCATGAAGTGGGAGGGCGGGGTGTAGGCAGCCAGTGACAGCGGAGGCCGGCATATCTCGTGCGAGTCTCCGCAGGCCGGCATCATTTGGGGAACCTGCTCCCGACGGCGCCCGGCAGCCCGCCAGCATGCTCTGCCTGTGCCTGTACGTGCCGCTTATCGGGGAGGCCCAGACAGAGTTCCAGTACTTCGAGTCCAAGGGTCTTCCCGCCGAGCTGAAGTCCATTTTTAAGCTCAGCGTCTTCATTCCCTCCCAGGAGTTCTCCACCTACCGCCAGTGGAAGCAGGTCTGTGTGGTGGCCGCGTCTTGGGAGGGACATGCGTTTGACCCGCGTTTGTTGAGTGAATGGCTGAGCGGCCGCCTTAGAGTGCGCATGTTCCCCTCTGCCGAGAGAAAAGAATGTCTGAAATGCGGGAGCTCTTTCCCCGGTTGTCGTGTGGCTGTGGTCGGCAGAAGGTGTACGTCACAGGAATGACTAGTTTTCACATGACTTCCAAGGAAGGCTGGAATTTAGCGAAGGCACTTGTGGAAGATGGACTCTAAGAAAGGAACTTCCTTTTGCTTGGGGATGTGGGGGTTGTTCCTGAGAAGTGCAGGGCCAGGAACAGACCTGGGGGCAGTCCAGCTTCTGCGGGGGGTTTTTCTCCGAACTTGGGGGTGGGGAGAACAGAGGCAGAGACTCCTCTTTGGAAGCCTAGAGGTTGGTTGCTCCAGAGTAGAGCTGACCGTGCACCTGTGAGCTGGTGGAGCTGTGCCCTGGGTGAGGAGGTGAGAGGAGCCCCCACCTTCTAGATCAAACCTCCCTGTGGAGCAGGGACTCAGCAGGGACTGTGCCCACCTTAAAGATGGGGAAACTGAGCCACCGAGGTGGGGGAGTCATGTGCCCCCCTCTACTCCTTCGTTAATCATGTTCCACACTGGCTGCCAGGGAAGGTCAGACCAGGTGCACTTGGGGATTTGCATGTCCAGGGAAGGGGACAGAAAGGAGGCCCAGCCCTTTTGAGATAGAAGCAGGCACTTTGAGAACACTTTGAAACCAGCTGCAGGGAGCACATTCTCGGGTTGTCTGTCATAGCAACCACTCCAGTAAGGCACATGTCTCACCTTGGTATAGGTGACCGGGCACCAGAGCTCTGTGCTTAAAGTTCTTTCTAAATGTCAACTCTTTCTACTGCTGTCAGAAGTCTGGAGTGGTCACCCTGTAGGTAGTTTGTGTCCCTCTTGGCCGAGAGCACAAATGCCCACAAGAAGTTAGACATAACCTCAGATGGCTGATGAAGGTATCTGTCCAGGCCTCCCTCCTCAGCACGGTTGGTGGCTGAGGAATCACAGGAAGCCAGCAAGTGGTTCTGGGTGTTGTCTAAAAGAGATCATCTTGGAAGGCTGAGCGGAAGGATCGCCAGGGCCCAACAGGTCGACAGTGGGGTGGCCGTGAGGGTGCCACTGCACTCCAGCCTGGGCAACGGAGTGAGACTCCAACTCAAAAAAAAAAGAGAGGCCACAATTGTGCTCTTTCGAGAGTGTGAGCTGACCACTAGTCCATTTCTGAACCCCAACTGGTTCAAAAGACATTGGAACCCATGCATATTTGGTGATAGTGAATGGATCTCTCACCAGGAGAATCGGGGACACAGGGAAACCATAAGTAACCATTTCCTTGGGAGATTCTAATTCTAATTTGGGGTTCTAGATTCGGGTGTTGCTGAGTTGGAATGACTCATGTTCATCCCCACATTCTGCAGGTTAGGGTTAGGTGGCAGCAGGATCTACAGGGAGGTGGCCCAAGAGTCCAACAGGCTGGGTTTGCATCCCGCCCACCACTTCCCTTGCTGTGTGACCTTGTGAAAGACTTAGCCTCTCTGAAGTCCTGTTTGCCTCTCTGTAAAGTGGGGGAAATGACAGTATCTACTGCCTGGAGCTGTTTGAGAGGGTGAGTGGATCACTAGGAGGAAGCATTTAGCTCGGCCTGCAGCCCCTGCTGAGTGCTGAGAAAGTCTGTTCTTTTGTGGAAGTCTTGCTTGCTGAGCATCTAGAACCAGCTATAGCTGCCGAGCAAGGTCCACCTCCTCAGGATGCTGAGGGTCCTGGAACTGCATGGCCGAGAAACAGGATCTCAGAGCCTCTTCAGTTACTCACGTGGTTTGCAGTGAGTGACTGAGAGAGCTGGGTTGGCTGCATCCCTGCTTCCCTGGGCCCGGGGACTGGCAGTGCCATTGAGCACATGCTCTTGGCTCCTACCATCTCCAGCCTCCAGAGTGCTCTCTGGCAGTGTTTCTGCCAAGCAGGCATTGGTTAAGACCAGCTCTGCCCCATATTTTCACCCTGGCCACCGAAGTGTTCTTGGGCTTATGCCACTGTTAGGGAGAAAAGAGCAAGCCCCAGCGTTCCTGATGAAGTCTGGGTGCTGAGGCCATCCCGCGACTCAGTAGGGAGCATGTAAGGGTGAGGCCTGGCACCAGGGACGGTGCGGCAGGGGACCCAGGCAGCTGACCCTGCTGCACAACAAGCTAGTCTTGAGCCTGACAAAGCGCCAACCCGCTCTGTTGGCCTCTGTCTGGAGGGCCCCTCCTGGGGGCTCCTTTTCCCTCTCGGCTTGTGAAGGAAGCAAGATAGGTCCTTGTTTGAGTCCTGGCCAGCACTTGATCTAAGTGGCAATTCTGGCATGTGACTAAATTGCTGTGGTAGCTTGGGAGTAGACAAGCATCTTGGGTCATTGGGTCACCCGTGTTCATGGATTAGTGCAGTTGTTTCCTGGGGGAGGGGGCCCCATGACAGATGAGGAGCTAAAACACAAAACCTTGCGTTTGTTTTCCAGAAAATTGTACAAGCTGGAGATAAGGACCTCGATGGGCAGCTGGACTTTGAAGAATTCGTCCATTATCTCCAAGATCATGAGAAGAAACTGAGGCTGGTGTTCAAGAGTTTGGACAAGAAGAATGACGGTAAGCGCTGCCCACAGAGCCGCCACTGGCCGGCCTTGCGCCCCCTTCACCTGCGTCGCTCCTGCTCAGGCCTTTGTTGTTTCAGGACGCATTGATGCCCAGGAGATCATGCAGTCCTTGCGGGACCTGGGAGTAAAGATATCTGAACAGCAGGCAGAAAAGATTCTCAAGAGGTGAGTGCTTAGCCAGCGTCTGCGTTCGTTCGAGCAAGTGATGAAAGAAAGGCCCTTGGACTCACCCTGTGGTGCCACTCACCATATTGACCCGGTTGCTCTGAACTTGGCCTTCTTGTGCTTGGAAAGGATGAATAAGTAACCCTTCCCAGAGACTGGCCTCGCCCCAGGCCTGCAGGCCGCCCCGTATTTGAAGAATCACAGATCACCTGGAAGTATGCCCATCTACCAGCGACCCATGAAGGGAAAAGACCGGTGGGGGGGGGAGTGGGCCTCAAGTAGGTGAAAGGCCAGCAGGGCACACCCCTCCCTGTTAGGGAGGGGAGAGGTTCGCACACGGCCTGGATCTGGGGTGGATTTCTCCCACCCTAGTAACTTGCTGTTAACGCTGCAGTGAGACGTGCCACCCCAAAGATAGCTCCCTGGTGAGGGCCAGTTACCAAGATGTCCCAGAATCTGCTTTCCATCCTAGTCGAGCCTTCCCACAGTCTTGCGGTTCGAACGCTGGCTGATCCTCAGGAACAGCAGCCTCTATCACCCGCTCCCTGGGCCCATCGCTGGGGGGACCCCGTCCTTGTGCTGCACTGTACTCCAGCGTCTTTAGGTGTGTGCTTGCTTCACTAACCTGCTTCCAGCACTTACCTGTGTTGTTTCTCCTCTCTCTTCTGCATTCTCCTTTGTCTGTCTGTCAGAATACGAATGGGCCACTTCTGGGGCCCTGTCACCTAGTAAGTATCCATGTCGCCCATGCCTGCCTCCCTCTTTGACTTCTTTGCCCGATCGGAATGGGGTTCTCGTGGGCCATTGGATTCCCGTTTTTGTGCACTTCGGGGTGTGGAGCCACCCTGCCCTTTGTCACAGTGGCCACACCACCTGCCCTGGGCTGGCCTGGAGGTGGGATATGCAGGTGACAGATGGGTATGTTCACACGCGGACGACCTCATTCTGTCTCGCAGCATGGATAAGAACGGCACAATGACCATCGACTGGAACGAGTGGAGAGACTATCACCTCCTGCATCCCGTGGAGAACATCCCTGAGATCATCCTTTACTGGAAGCATTCCACGGTGAGCCTGCACTCCCAGGCCTGAGTGCATCTGCTCTGTCATCCGCTTTCTCTGCCACCTGCTCACAGGGGCCCCATGACCCAACACACCAGTCAGTCATCCTCATCCTGGCATGGGGCAGGACTGTCCCCTCCTGCCAGTCCAGTAGAGCCATCCACAGTCTCCCTTTGTTCCCATATACAAGGTCCCCTCTACCAGGACTCCCCTCTGTCCCCACGTACTACTGTTCTTGATGAGCCATTTCAAATATCCCTTCCCCCAACACTTCCTGTTCTCCCAAAACTGGTATGTCCTTCCTCCCTGGGGGTCAGGGTGGAGGGGAAGAAGCTACTCCCCAGAGAGCACATAGGTAGGTCTACTAAGTGTCCATCCCCCCCCCATTACCCTATTGTTTGTCATTTCTCTCTATGGCAAAAGATGACGTCCCCACAGCCGCATACTTGCTGCCTTTTATTTCCTGTCCATTGTGGTTTCATGTTCAGAAACATAGTTCATAGGTCAGGCATGGTGGCTTACACCTGTAATCCCAGCACTTTGGGAGGCTGAGGCAGGAGGATTGTTTGAGCCCAAGAGTTCAAAACCAGCATGGGCAACATAGCAAGACCCTGTTTCAGAAAATCAAGAAGCCAGGTGTGGTGGCATGTGCCTGTAGTCCCAGCCACTCAGGAGACCAAGGTGGGAAGATTGCCTGAGCCCAGGAATCAGAGGCTGCAGTGAGTTGTGTAGTCATGCCACCACACTCCAGCCTGGACAACCCCGCCTCCAAAAAAAACGAAGGAAATACAGCTCTGTGTGACCCTCCCTGCCTGTGAGCCCCTCCTGATGTGCAGCCTTATCCCCCTTGGACTGATGGCTCCAGGGGTGAGGGGAGGCTAGAGATGTTCCTTCTGTGCTGCCAAGCCAGTGCTTGGGTGATATTAAGTGGCCCAGCTCCTGGGAACAGCTGGCAAAGTCTCTGGCCTACAACTCTGGGTCAGAGAAACCTGGATGCTACCTGGAGAGAGGGCATTACGCAGGTGACAAGCCCTCATGTGTGCTGAGGCCTTGCATAATGTTCTGCCAGCGTGGTCTGGTTACACAGCAGGTTTCAGGAGGCTTTTACCCGACCTGATCCTTTGGTGAGGCCAGCCCAGGGATCCGATGGAGGCCTTTTAAGCTGTTCTGGCAGCATTGGAAAGGGCTGCGGTGGTTTTGTAACTGGCCCCTTCAGCTGTGCTCAGCTGAGGTGCTGTGTGCTCGCTTCTCCGGGGCTGAGGTGGGGGAGAGCTCTGCTGCCCGCACGCTCAAGGGGAAGGGTCCCAGTGGGCTTCCTCCTGAATAAGGCTTGTCTCTGCTGGTCTTCCTCATAGATCTTTGATGTGGGTGAAAACCTCACTGTCCCCGATGAGTTCACAGTGGAGGAGAGGCAGACGGGGATGTGGTGGAGACACCTGGTGGCCGGAGGTGGGGCAGGGGCCGTCTCCAGAACCTGCACAGCACCCCTGGACCGACTCAAGGTGCTCATGCAGGTATGCAGGATCGGAGGCCCCAGGCCACTGGTGTTGCCTCGGGGTCACTGGCAGACGGGTCCGCCTCTCTTGACTGGGCCCTGCTTCAGGCCCAAGCTTTTCTAACTCAATAAATTAGATGGAAATTACTTCTCAGATCCACTCTAGTGACCTATTATGCACAGTGGATCTAATTTTATCTGAGGCTCTTAAGCCAGGCATCACATTACAGGGCCTCATGGGGACAGGTGAAACCAGTGAGACTGGGTGAGGCAGGAACTGATTGCCTTAAGTACATCTTGTGTGGGGTGCCCATGGAGGGGTAGGGGGTGGAGCCAGCAGATCCTCACCTGAGCCGATGCCAGTGGGAAGCAGTAGTATTACCTTGGCCAGACGCAAATCCACGTTCACAGGGCAGAGATAAGCTGGGCTGATGTCAGACCGAATTGTGAAACCGACCCACACGACGACACTCTGGTGGACTTTGATATCTGTCTGAACAGTGACAGGCCACCCCTGTCCCCTTGCTTGCGTCTAGCACTTTTTGTTCTAGGGACCCAGCACTGAAGAGGCAGCCTCCTTTCCCTTCCCCCATGCCCTGTTGGGCCTCTCTGTGTGGTGCTGAGAGCTTTGACTTGGGCTTGGACTCTGCCCATGGCGCCACCCAGCTTCCTCCCTCCTGGCTGTGTGGCCTTGGGCAAGTGACCGGAACCTCCTTCCTCCATGAAAATAAGGGGCTCCAACAATTGTCTTATCCTGTTTTTCTAACAATTCTCAGGAATGCAGTAGGCATTAAAAGCAATCCTTGGGTGAAATGCCACAATGCCTGGAATGTGCTTTGAAGTAACCCAGCAGGGCTGGGAGCAGCAGGAGCCAGCATTGGTTGTGATTTACTCATTGGAGGCGCATTTTATAATTATGTTTTTGAATATGTTTGAGTCCGATTCTTTTTTAATTTCAAAAAGTAGTCCTATGGAGATGTTTAGCATGATGTTGCCTCAGCACATGCTGAGCAAAACCCAGGGCCCAGTATGGGGCTCACGCTTGTCATCCCAGCACTTTGTGGGGGGCCAAGGTGGGAGAATTGCTTGAGCCCAGGCATTCAAGACTATTCCAGGCAACACGGCAAGACCTTGACTCTACACAGATTTAAAAATTAGCCTGTAGTCCCAGCTCCTCGGGGGGCTGAAGTGGGAGGCTCAGAGTCCAGGAAGTCAAGGCTGTAGTGACCTGGGGTCGCGCCACTGCAGTCCAGCCTGGGTGACTGAGTGACACTCTGTCTCAAAAAGAAAAATCTCATGGAACGTGACTGAGCCATGTTTGAGTCTCATAGTGTCATTAGTCTTCAGAGCACCAAGAAGGAAAAGCCTCCCTGCCAGCCATGATCTGTTGGCCAGGAGAAGAGGCTCTGGGCTGGATGGCAGCCCTGTGGCCTGGCTGGGCTGTGCCTGACCAGCTTTCTTTCCCCCCTCAGGTCCATGCCTCGCGCAGCAACAACATGTGCATTGTTGGGGGCTTCACTCAGATGATTCGAGAGGGGGGCGCCAAGTCCCTCTGGCGGGGCAATGGCATCAACGTCCTCAAGATAGCCCCTGAGTCGGCCATCAAATTCATGGCGTATGAGCAGGTGAGGACCTGGCTCCCCGGGGAGAATGACCTGGCAGCAGCTGCTGGCTGGGCTTCTGGACCTGGAGCCAGCTGTGGTACCCAGGGAACAGCAGGGTGAGGCAGAAGGCCTGACCTGATGCCAGGCCCACTCTGTGCCGGGTACTCCGGTCTTGGCGAAAATGGCCTGGCTCCCTGAGGAAGGGTGGGCAGGAGCAGGTGCTTTGGTCTCTGGCCATGTTCGTGCGTTCATTGGCTCCCGGTTCTAGATCAAGCGCCTTGTTGGGAGTGACCAGGAGACTCTGCGCATTCACGAGAGGCTGGTGGCAGGGTCCTTGGCAGGGGCCATCGCCCAGAGCAGCATCTACCCGATGGAGGTGAGGGGCCACCCTGTCCTGGCAGGCATGGGCAGGCATGGGCGGGCACGAGGGGAGGCTCAGGCTGTGCTCACCCTTCCTGCCGGGCAGGTCCTGAAGACGCGCATGGCCCTGCGGAAGACGGGCCAGTACTCGGGCATGCTGGACTGCGCCAGGAGGATCCTGGCCAAAGAGGGGGTGGCTGCCTTCTACAAAGGCTACGTCCCCAACATGCTGGGGATCATCCCCTACGCTGGCATCGACCTGGCCGTCTATGAGGTGAGGCCCCAGAGGACAGACTCAGAACCCCCATGCCCATCCAGCCTGTTGTCTCCCTCCCTGAAGCGCCACTGGGGATGGTTATTATGGGAAATGGCACCAGAGACTGTGTGCCCCGGGCTCACCTGTCATCTGCAAGGCTCTCCTTCACCCCGCCCTCCTCCAACAACCTCCTGAGCAGCTCCTATGAGCCCCGCCCCGGGTTCCACTCCTCAGAGGCCTAACAGGCAGGCTAATGGGCCCCCAGCAGGCTCCAGGCAGACCCCAGAAGTCAGGGGCTCTGCATGAGGGAGGGGGCGCTCCCTCCACCTTATCCCCACTCCCTGTCCTGTGACAGCAGACACAAGGGCAGGCAGGCCAGGAGCTTAGGGAGGCCCAGCCCAGGCTCTGTGATCGGGTTACAGCAGCCTCCCTGGGTGTTCAGGAAGTTCAGAAACCGCCCTATCTTGCTGCCTCTCTTGCTCCTTTTGGGGCTCACACCCTCGCTCCTTTCCCCTCCCAGACTCTCAAGAACGCCTGGCTACAGCGCTATGCAGTGAACAGTGCAGACCCCGGCGTGTTTGTGCTCCTGGCCTGTGGCACCATGTCCAGCACCTGTGGCCAGCTGGCCAGCTACCCGCTGGCCCTGGTCAGGACCCGGATGCAGGCGCAAGGTAAGGCAGTCCTGGCCCCTCCCCAGGGGCTGTCTCCCGGGCAGGCTGGACTGGGGGAAGTCCAGAAGTGCCTGACGGGGCTCTCTTGGCAGCCTCCATCGAGGGCGCCCCGGAGGTGACCATGAGCGGCCTCTTCAAGCAGATCCTGCGGACCGAGGGGGCCTTCGGGCTGTACCGGGGGCTGGCCCCCAACTTCATGAAGGTCATCCCGGCCGTGAGCATTAGCTATGTGGTATACGAGAACCTGAAGATGACCCTAGGCGTGCAGTCGCGGTGACGGGAAGGGGCCGCCCGGCCTTGCTGTTCCTGGGCTCAGCCCGGGATGTGGAGCATCTCATTCTGTGAATGTGCCAACACTACGCTGACTTCACCAAGCTGTGAAACCTGGGATGCGCCGGGGGTGGGGAGAAGGCAGGCCCGTCAGTGTGTCCTGCTGGCCCCGGCAGACTCTGCGTCGGTTCCAGGGAAGACCTGTGGACGCTCCTCAGGTCCAGGGGCCAGCAGGGTCCTGCTGACGCGCGTAGGGACAGATCGCCTGCAGTGCCTGCCACATAGCGAGCTTGGGGGCCGGCTTAGTGCTTCCATCTCGTCCTTGCAGCCTAATGTTGGCCACAGGCCCTGTGCCCTGGCCTGCTGAGCAGTCCCTTACACCCCTGCTTCCTTCCTTTCTGCTGACGTCATGCCAGGAGGGGCTACCAGCCTGCTGCCTGCCCTTCCCCTCAATCCATGGTGAAGCTGTCCCTGACCTGCTCATCGATGCCAGCTTGCTGTGTGGGAAGGAGGGCAGGGTCTGGCTTTCCTGCTTGCCTCCCCAGCCCTGCTTTGGGGCACCAAGCCCACCAACAGCGGGCCCTGGGTGTGTGTGCATGCAGGGGCGCGGCTGCAGGCGTAGGACGCATGGCTTCAAAACGGCAGGAGAGTGCTGGCACCTCATGGCACCCTGAGCTGGCCCGGATGCTGTCATGACTGGCACCAGCCTGAAACCAAACCCACTGTCCCCACTGTGGCACAAGGACAGCGGAGGTCAGCGTCTGGGCCCTGGAGAGAGAAGGGAGCGGTATTGAAGGCCTTAATTACGTATACTGGGAAGGGCGTTTTGTCCAGGAAGGCGTGCTGGACAGGAGCAAGCTGTGCTTCCGGCAGGGGGAGATGAGGAAGGGGCATCAGCTGACTGCACAGAAAGTCGGTTTCTACACCAGCCGGGGTTCGAATCCAATCCCACCTGGGGTGAAGTGGGACCAGCCTCACATTCCACTCATGTGACGTGTCACACTGCTTGGAGCCTATTTATTTTGTATTTATTTGAACAGAGTTATGTCCTAACTATTTTTATAGATTTGTTTAATTAATAGCCTGTCATTTGCAAGTTCATTTTTTTATTCATATTTATGTTCATGGTTGATTGTACTTTCCCGACACCACCTGGTGGGGTGGGGTGGGGAGAGGAGAGAAGAAGGGTCTTGGGAGGAACCCTTCCCACTGCCATGGCACCTGTGTCCTGTCTGTCCAAAGAAATTCCTCTCAGGCCTGGAGGCAGGAGAGAGGCGAGTCCTTTGGTGGTAGAGGAGGGGGGCCTTGCCCCCAGGAAGTCTGGGGATCACAGGGTTGATGGGGGGTGGAGAGAGGGCGAACCCCAACATTGAAGGCAGAAGTACAGTCATTTCCTGGACTGGAAAGGCTTCTTTCTTTCACCCTTTTTGAATGACGAGGCAGTGAGGTGCCTTCAGTGTGAACCTGGGGTGCTGGTGGAGGGATGAGGGGCCAGCTCCCTCCCTCCCAGCCCCCTGCTGCCCTTGCTCAGTGACGCTGGCCAGCCGGCAGTTTCACAGCTGCCCTTCATTCCTTCCACCAGAATGGCCGATGAGGACACCTCAGCAGGATGCAAAGATCAATGCAAAAATTACATTCTCTATAAATATATATAGTTAGAACTGGAACTTGTCAAAAAGCAAATTAAGAACGAATTGGAAGTTGTCATTGAAAACAGCCTTCTAATAAAGTTGTTTCAAAGCTGACAATGGAGCCAGGAGTCTTCTGATCCGGGTGTGGGAGGCTTGGGGATGCTGGCTTGTGGGGAAAGAAATCCATTTTTCTTCTCCAAAGCTCAGGCAGTGGCCCCTGTCAGCTTCTTGGGGATACTCCCTCTTTGGTAGGAATTCTTTAGATTTGAGTTGCTCTGATGAGGTGCCAGTGACACGAGTTGCTGTCTTAAGTGGTCCTCAGCCTGTTGGGCCAGACAGTCCTTCCCTGCACTAGAAGTGCCATCTTCAGCCGGGTGCAGTGGCTCATACCGGTAACCCCAGCACTTTGGGAGGCCAAGGCGGGAGGATTGCATGTCGAGGCCAACCTAGGCAACATAGCAAGACCTCATCTCTACAGAAAAAAACCAAAAAAAACTAGCCAGGCATAGTGGTGTGCACCACAGTCTCAGCTACTCAGGAGGCTAGGGCAGAAGGATCGCCTGAGTGCAGGAGGTCAAGGCTGTGGTAAGCCATGATCATGCCATTGTATTCCAGCTCGGGTGGCAGAGGGAGACCCTGACTCAAAAGGGGGCTATCTTCACAGGACACCACTGGGCTTTTCTCTCCCCAGGCTGTCCCTTGGCCCAGGCCTCTCCTTCCTACCCACACTCGCTTAGTAACCTCATCTCACTCAAGATTACACTCAGTGTCTATATTCAGATGACTCTTGTTTCATGCTTGGACTTACTCCAGCTTCACCAATCCAGCTGTGAACTCTACTCGCCACATAAAAGGCTAACAGGCAGCCAGGCACAGTGGCTCACATCCGCAGTCCTGTGACGACTAAAAAGACAGTCTCCGTATCCCATCATCAACCATCAACAGCCCCTATCCCTTGGCCTGTCAAGTTCCCTTGAAAAACCCTACTTGCCAGGTGTGGTGGCTCACGCCTGTAATCCCAGCCATTTGGGAGGCAGAGGCAAGAGGATTGCTTGAGCCTAGGGCTTCAAGACCAGTGTCCCTACAATAAATAAATAAATAATTAGGCATGGTGGTGCATACCTATAGTTCCAATTACTTGGAAGGCTGAAGGAAAGATCACATGAGCCCAGCAGGTAAAGGCTGCAGTGGACAGGAGCACGCCACCACATTCCAGCCTGGGTGACAGAGTGAGACGCCTACTCAGAAGGAAAAAAAAAAAATTATTCTCTGAATTTTTGAGAAAGCAGATTTGAGAGATATCTCCCACCCTCCTGTCTCAGCTGTTTTGTGATATTAAACTCTAGCAGGTATGGGAACCCGGCCAGGCTGTAGCAGTGTCCTCATAAGAAGGAAATTTAGCAAAGACATGCACAGAGAGACGCAGGGAGGACACCACGTGACGACAGAGATTGAAGTGATACACCTACAGGTCAAACGAGTATTGTCAGCAGCCACCAGAAGCTAGGAGGCATAGGGCAGATTCTTCTGAGACCCTCAGAAGCGATGATCCTGCCCACACCTTGACTGCATTCCCCTGGCCTCCTGAACTGAGAAGAAATACTGTTATAAGTGTGCCACGTGTGTGCCACGTTTGCAGTCATTTGTTGGAACAACCCTGGGAACGGTCATGCCCTTGTTTCAGTGACTTGTTGGAGGGAATGGGTGTGTCACTTCCCAGTCATCAGGCCTCCCTGATCTGCTCTCCCACCCTGCTCAGGCCTGGTCCTCAAATCTCTCCAGCTGGAAGCCTTCTGCAGCAGGAGGTTAACCTGGGGGTCTTTGAGGGCATGCAGCATGGAGTCCCACAGAGCAAACCACCCTGTGGCTCTCATGCTTCTCCACCCCTCCTTCCCATCACCAAAGAGCAGAATTTTTTTTTTTTTTTTGGAGTCAGAGTCTCACTCCGTCACCCGGGCTGGGGTGCTGTGGCACACTCACAGCCAGCCCAGCCTCAACCTACTGGGCTCTGGCAATCCTTCCGCCTCAGCCTTCCAAGCAGCCGGAATTACAGGTGCACGCTACCATGCCTGGCTAATTTTTGATTTATTGTAGAGAAGAGGTCTCGCTAAGTTGCCCGGGCTGGTCTCAAATCCTCGGGCTCAGGCAATCCACTCGCCTCGGCCTCCCAAAGTGCTGGGATGACAGACTGAGCCACTGCAGCCGGCCTTTTATTTGAGTAGAAGTCTCACTGTCGTCCAGGCTGGAGTGGGGTGGCATGCTCACGGCCACAACAGCCTCATCCTGCTGGGCTCGAGATTCTTCTGCCTCAGCCTTCCAAGGAGTCAGAACTACAGGCGGGCGCTACCACGCCTAGCTAATTTTTGATTTATTGTAGAGACAAGGTCTCGCCAAGTTGCTGGGGCTGGTCGCAAACCTGCAGGCTCAGGCAACCTACTCACCTCAGCCTCCCAAAGTGCTGGGATGACAGCCTGCGCCACTGTGCCTGGCCAAGAGCAGCCATTTGAACGCTGCTGAGCTTCCTCATGTTTCTCTGGCAATTCACTTTCATTTACCCTTCGATCCCCAGCCACAGGCAGAACCCGTTTCTCATTGCTTTACAGCCCCCTCCCCAGCTTGTTTTGTACTAATTAGCTTTTCTGTCCCAAGTATTTGCTTCCAGCAGCAAGAAGCCAAGTTAACCTAATCAGCCCTTGTGACCTTCATAACACAAACAGACCCCAGCAACGTGGCAACATTATGTGACCAGCCCATCTGCCTGCCGTCCATCACCTGCCATCAGACCTGTGCTCACCTGCTCCTTTGTGATGACAAACAGACCACCACCAACCTCCTTAACGACCTGCCCCCATCAAAGGGAAGGTTTAAAAGACATTCAAACTCAGACAGCAGCTGCCATTGCTTTTGTTAAGTTCTGCCCAGGCTGTGTGTTCTTTGAGCTCTGGTTGGGCCATGTTTTCCTAAACTTTGGCCCCCACTCCTACCTTGGGGAGGTGAATCTCCTCTCTTTCTCCAGTTTACTTTCTATATAAACTATATTTTCCAGTCTAACTTCTGTGCAATTTTTTTGCATCTTACGCACGGCACCGGATGGTGGCGGTCCCACCCACCTGGCCTCTGACCTAACACTTTTTCTTTTCCCTTTCTTTTTTTTTTGAGTTGGGATTCTCATTCTGTCTTCCAGGCTGGAGTGAAGTGGCACGATCATAACTCACCACAGCCTTGACCTCCTGGGCTCAGGCAGTCTTCCCACTTCAGCCTCCTCAGTAGCTAGGACTACAAGCATGGGCCCCCATGCCTGGTTAATTTTTTTTTTTTTTTCATACAGATGGGGGGTCTTACTATGTTGCCCAAGTTGGTCTCGAACTCCAGGGCTCAAGCGATCCTCCCACCTTGGCCTCCCAAAGTACTGGGATTAGTACTGGCGTGCGCCATTGCACCTGGCCCGTTGGTCCCTTAAGCCTGAGGGGGCACTGCCCGTGAGGACATCATTTAGCCCTGAGCAGCTCTAGGAAGGGCTGGCTGCTGCCATGTGCCCATTTCACAGTTGCAGAAACTAAGACTCCAGGAAGGAATGCAGGTTAGCGGGCCCCTGACTGGCATGCTGCGGGCATGGGGATGAACATGGGGTGGGCTCCACTGAGGCTGCCCACCAGGGGCCACCGGAGGCTAGAACCATGCCGCGACCCTCCTGTGGGACCTTCATGAGATTGGGTGTGCCAAAGAGACGGACACTCCTCGCCTCCAGAGAGGGGCTCCTGGCTGTCCAGGTGGTCACAGAGAACCTGGGAAGTGTTGGGCCTCTCTGAGCTTGTTGTCTCGCTGGCAAGATGGGCAAATGCCTTCCTGACAGCTCATGGGGAAGGGACTTGTCTGGGGGCGGGCGAAGGGTATATAGTGAAAGATTCAGCCAGCTTTGCTGACACTGAAGCCCCAGGCTCACCCCGGGCTGCCCGCAATCCAGATCTCACTGGCCTGAGCGGGGTTGGAATGTAGGGGAAGGGTGGAGAGAGGAGGAGCCGGTGTGCCGACCAGTTGCGGACCTTGGTCCCTGTCCTTAGGGGCCGAGGAGGCAGCAGGAGTAGACAGCGTGGCCCGGCTGGCTGACTGGGAGGGGCATGATGGGGCAGAGGAGAGAAACCAGGAATAAGGCTGGGCTTGGTGGCTCGTGCCTGTAATCCCAGCACTTTGAGAGGCTGAGGCCGGGAAATCGCCTGAGGCCAGGAGTTTGAGATCAGCCCAGGCAACATAGTGAGACCTTGTCTCTACAAAGTAAAAATCAAAAAATTAGCCGGGCATGGTGGTGCGCGCACCTGTAGTTCTAGTTACTTAGGAGGTTAAGGAAGAAGGATCACCTGAGACCAGGAGACTGAGGCTGCAATGAACTGTGAGCATGCCACTGCACTCCAGCCTGGGCAACCGAGTGAGACCCCGACTCAAAAGAAGAAGGCAAGAATAGCACCCACATCTGGCAGATGGGTAAACGGAGGCCAAGGAGAGCCCAAGGCCTGCCCCAGTACCCCAAGGGGCAAGATAATCCGAGGCAGCCTCCTCTGGGCTTCCCAGAACATGGGGCTGGGCAGGGAGCAGCACAGGAAATGAGCTCTCCTGTCATTTGCTGTCACCCTTCAGCACGGGCCCTGCAGCCCGGAAGAAGCCTTTATCTCCCATAGCAGCTGTTGAGGCTGATGTGAGAGGGACTCTCACCATGCCAGCACCCACACCAACAGTGTGGGGCACCCTCGCTGAACACAGGAGCCCAACCCATCATTTACAGATGAGGAGACAGACTGGAACTGGGACCTGCCCAGGTCCCCAAGCCCTGTAGCTGTTTCTCTGCCCTGTCTTCACTTGGCTTAAATCATGAGTGCTGACCAGGTGCAGTGATCCACGCCTGTAATCCCAGCACTTTGGAAGACAAGGCGGGAGATTTTTTTTTTTTTTTTGGAGATGGAGTCTCACTCTGTTGCCCAGGCTGGAGTGCAGTGGAATACTCCCAGCCACCGCAGCCTTGACCTGCTGGGCTCAAGCGATTCTTACGCCTCAGTTCTTCCAAGTATCTGGAACCACAGGCGTGTGCCATCACACCTGGCTAATTTTTTTTTATTTATTGT